AGCACCGTTGAAGACCCTGGCAGCCAGTGTTCGAGACCCCAGGCGCTGGAAGGTGCCATCTGCTCGTCTTCCATAAAGCTTCCTGAGCATAGAGAAAGGGGTGGGGGACAGGGGACTGCCTGCCTTCTCCCCCACCCCCGCCCCCACCCCCACAGGGACTAGGCTGGGCTGGGGCTCAGTTCCCACCTCTCAGGTTGTAGCAGCCACCAGCCTCCTGCCCTGGGGCCCTTCTCAGGTTCCTTCTGGGGGGGGGGCCCACCCGCCACCTGTGTCTTCCTCCCGGGCCGGTTGGACTCAGGTGGCGGAATTGCTCAGGGCAGTGCCTCCAGCCCGTCTCAGCCCCTTCGGTCCCGCTGAGGAAACTGGGGCCCAGGGAAGACAGCTGACTCGTTCCTGATCTTTCAGTGCATGTGCATAGAAGCCAGAGCTTCGCTGGCTGAGTCTCTGTCCCCAAACCTTTGCCTCCGCCCTTCACCAGAAAGTGACCCAATGCAGAGAAATTAGTATGGAACTAAGGGTTAGTAGACCAGCGCAGTTAGCTGTGTGGCCTTTTCTCTTAACCTCTCATTTTCTCTTCTGTCCAACAGGAAAAGTAGTGATTAGATTAGGAAGAACAGAACAGCACCTATGGGCGATGGCAGAGTTATTTTGGCTAAAGTTTTAAAAAGAAGAGTAACCAAAAAAAAAAAAAGAAGAAGAAGAAGAAGAAGAGGAATAGAAGGCAGATGGGCCAGAGGAGAGAGAAATGTTAGCTTGGGGGCTCGCTTGCAAGTGACCCCCAAACTCTGGCCCCCTAGGGAGTGACCCACAGGAGACAAAAGGGGTTCATTCCCTAAAGAATGATTTCAGCCTGTGAGGGACTGTTGCATCTCCACCCCACCTATGCTGTCTTCTCCTGGGTGTCCCCACCTGTCCCCACCATAAAGGAGGCTAAGGTTTGCATGTGACCTTGGAGCATAGGAGCATAGGACCCCTTCTTTCTCCTCACCTCCCCATGCCCAGCTCCACACAGTTTTGGTTTAGAAACTTCTGCAGAATATGGAATCCCCCCTCCCCGAGGTTCCCTGACTGGCTCCAGCCCTCTAGGGTCACCCCTGGTGTGCTCCGGCTCCTATGGGGGTGTCTATGCTAGAGCAGAGGGCGACGCTCAGGACCCTCCTGTCCTGCAAGCCGTGTCCGGGCACGTGGCACCCCCTGCAGGCTGTGGAAGGAGCGGTGGCGCCTGGACACCCAGTTTACCTGACACCGTCCAGTCTCTCTGGGTCAGCGAGACCCTCATCATTTCCATTTCTTGCAGCTCCCAAAGCATTTTTTTAAAGTTTATATTTATTTATTTTGAGCGTGAGCTCGAGCCAGCAGGGGAGGGGCAGAGGGAGAGAGAGAATCCCAAGCAGGCTCTGTACCTCCCGCAAGGAGCCAGTGTGGGGCTCAAGCTCATGAGCTGTGAGATCATGACCTGAGCTGAAGTCGGACGCTTAACCGACTGAGCCACCCAGGCCCCCCCACAAGGTATTCTTTTTAAAAACTAATGAACAGAGCTAATGAATTGTAGTATGTTCTAAATGTTTACTTGGAACGGAGTAATGCTTTTCACACCCACATGGCAGTGTGATTGCGCTAGTCACAAGATAACAGAAATTTTAAAAAACAACAAAACAAACCATAGAGCACCAAAGGCAGGAGGAGGGGCACTGGTGTATATTTGTTGGCTGAGTGCGTCATTTTGACCCTGTCTGTGTTTTCCTGGATCATGTGTTTGCCTCGTTTGGGAGAAGATCAAGACCTTCGGTTTGAGGAGGCCTTGGGTGATGGCGGCCTCCCAGTGCTGGGCCTGCCATGGGGTCAGTTTAGGGCCTGGGGGTGCTCAGGTCTCTCCCAAGGTGGCCCACAGTGGAGAGCAGGTGTTCGGATGTGCTGCACGGGAGAGAGAGAGCACTGCAATCGGGTCGTGGCCTCGGTCTCTGTGTGGGTCCATTAGCTACAGTCAGTCCGCTGCCCCCTGCTGGTCATCATAGAAATCGGTGACATTGGTCTGGAACAGTAGTTCTCAAACCACCATCCAGGGATCCCTGGGGTTCCCCAATACCTTTCAGGAAATCCACGAAGTCAAAACTGTTTTCTTAATAATATACTGGATCCTGTTCTCTCATAAATGTACAGACAATGAAAAGTTTATTAATATGGTTCCAGATGCCACATTCAAAACTAATCTTTAGGGAACTCCCATCTGTTTCCGGTACAGTATGAAAGAGCATCCACCGTTATCTGGGAAGACTGTTAAAGTACTCCTCCCGTGGGGCGCCTGGGTGGCTCAGTAGGTTGAGCATCCGACTCTTGGTCTCAGCTCAGGTCTTGATCTCAGGGTTGTAAGTTCAAGCCCTACGTTGATCTCTGCACTGGGCATGAAGCCTACTAAACAGGTAGGTAGGTAGATTAAAATATTCCTCCCTTTTCCACATGGAGTACATATCTGTTAGAGTCTGGATATCTTTCAGGTTTTAACAAAACCACATAATCTCAAGATTGAACAAAAAATATCTGATATGAACATGCAGCTGACTTTTGTTAAACCAAACATTACACAGATTATTTTTATTTAAAAAAAAACCTCAACTTTTTTAATGTTTATTTTTGAGAGAGAGAGACAGATCACAAAGGGGAAAGGGGGAAGAGAGAGGGAGACACAGAATCCGAAACAGGCTCCAGGCCCCGAACTGCCAGCACAGAGCCTGATGCAGGGCTCAAACCCACGAACCATGAGACCATGACCTGAGCTAAAGTCAAATGCTTGCCAGACTGAGCCACCTAGGTGCCCCTAAAAACAAACATTTAAAACTAAATAAATAAAATATGTGAACATCTAATGGACTTATTGTTTTCTGATGAATTACAATTAAAAATTTTTTTAGTTCTAATTTCTAATGTGTTGAATCAGTACATAAACCCCACATCATTTGCCATTGTCAAGAATGTTTGTATAACTGTTTAATGAGATACAGTTCTCATACCATAAAATTCACACTCTTGAAGGTTGTGATTCATTGGTTTTAGTTTACTCCCAAAGTTGTGCAGCCATCACCATGACCTAATTCCAAAATATTTCATGACCCCAGAAAGAAACCCTGAACTCAGTAGCAGAAACTCCTCATTCCTTCTTCTGGCCACCCGCACTCCAGTCCCTGCCAGCTGTTAATCTACTCTTTGCTTCTCTGGATTTGCCTGATCTGGACATTTCTCGTAAATGGAATCTTATGATATGTGGTCTTTACTGACTTGCCTTCTTTTTTTTTTTTAATTTTTTAAATGTTTTATTTATTTCTGAGACAGAGAGAGAGAGAGAGACAGCTTGAGTAAGGGAGGGTCAGAGAGAGAGAGAGATACAGAATCAGAAGTAGGTTCCAGGCTCTGAGCTGGCTTTCAGCACAGAATCTGACACAGGGCTTGAACCCACGAACTGTGAGATCATGACCTGAGCCGAAGTCGGACACCCAACCGACTGAGCCACCCAGGCATCCCGTGACTTGCCTTCTTAAACTTAGCATAATGCTTTCACGTTTCAGCCATGTTGTAGCCTGTATCAGTCCTTCATTCTTTGATGGCAAAATAATCTTGCAGTGTGCATGGGTATGTCATGTTTTATCCATTACCAGTTGAGGGACAACTTAAACTGTTTCTACTTTTTGGCCGTTGTGAACAATGCTATGTGAACATCCATGTACAAGGTTTTGTGTGGACATTATGTTTTCAGTTCTCTTGGGTATATACCTAGAAGGATTTTCTGGGTTACATGGTGACTGTGTTGAACATTTAAGGCACTGCTAGACTAATTTCCAGCCTCAGTAATTTAAAAAAAAAAATGCTTATTTATTTTGAGACAGAGCAAATGAGCATGAGTGGGGGAGGGGCAGAGAGTGAGGGAGAGGGAATCCCAAGCAGGCTCCTCTCTGTCAGCACAGAGCCCCACGTGGGACTCCGTCTCACGAACCATGAGATCATGACCTGAGCTGAGATCAAGAGTTAGACACCCAACCGACTGAGCCACCAAGGCACCCCCAACTTCAGTAATTGTTAAGAGTATGAAGGATTCTGGTCTAGATGGGATTGGACAAGGGGAGTGTGGATAACTCAGTGCAGCCCCTCGTCTTTGCTCTGGGGTTTACTCCCTTTTCTCTTCCCTCAACACACACACACACACACACACACACACACACACACACACATTCACTCACTCCCTTCAGAACACATGAGCTCGATAATCCTCATGCTATTAATCAAGGAGTAGGTCATATCCTTGGTGGCGAGCAGAAAGGCAGCTAAGTTGGGCTGCACCAGTTAAACTCCCAGGAGCTCTGGAGCCGGGGTGCCTCCCCGCAGGATGCCTGAGGGTGCCGCTGTCATTGTAGTCCTGGTGGACTGTGTCCCCTACAGTTGTGCAGGATGGCAGTCCCTGCCCTCCTCCCTGCTCTGGGGAGCACTGTGATGTCAGCAGAACGTGTTGGGGAGCAGAGCCCGTGAAGGTGGCTAGCTCTTCGCTGCACCCACGGACCTGGGGCTGCCGTGGTGGGGCCCCCAGGTCTGGGGGTGGTGGAAGGCTTGCCTGGGCTATCTAGCTGTGTGGCCCCTCTGGCCCCGGCCTCTCCTGCTAGGCGCTGTGCTCAGTACAGTAGGGGCTGTACTTGGGAGGGGCGGGAGTCCGATGCCCTCAGGGCCTGCCGGCCAAGTTGAAGATTACTGGGATGTGCCTCTTCTCCCTTTTCTGCTTCTAACCCCGGATGTGCAGCCAGTCACGTCCAATCTTGTCACTTAGCACTGCAAGCCACCTATTTATCCCTCCCAGAATTATGGGAAAGAGGGACTGGTATTTAGCTGGAGGAGGGATTCTGTGGGTGAGGCATCAGCCGGTGGCCTGTACGGGGACACACTGGAAGTGTCAGTGCTTAGTGTGCCATCGCCTCCCCAGCTGATGATGCGCTCTTTATCTTTCCCTCTTCTCACCTCAGATGTGACTCCCTGCCCTGGCTGGGCGCTCCAGGCCATGGCTGACACCATCTTCGGCAGCGGCAACGACCAGTGGGTTTGCCCCAACGACCGGCAGCTTGCCCTGCGAGCCAAGTGAGTCCCCCCAGTTCCCGCCAGGCCTTCCCTTCCCTCCCCGTCCCTGCTACCCTCCTTTTTTGGGCAAGGTTTATTATCGGGGACCCAGAAAGAGAAGTTCGGAGACAAGTGCATGACTAAAGCCCACCAGGCTCTGAGCTGGGCACTTACCAGCCTTTCACTCATGTAACTGCCATGTCGGATTTACCCTCATTTCTTGGGTGAGGAAAGCAAGACAGGGCTCCTTGCCCAAGACACTTACCTTGTGAGCCTCAGGGCTGGGACCCACACCCAGGCTCCCCTGACACCCATGCCTGTGTTCTGTCGCAGCAGGCTGGGGGTGGGGGCGTCAGGCTGCTTCTTCTGCCTTTTCTGTTAAGAATATAAATCCCCTGTCACTGAGCCTTCAGTCCCTGAGCCCCGGAGTCTGGGAGCCTTTGATATATGGATGCCCACTTCATGGCGATTGCCTGGTGCTGACAGTCAGGACACAGCTAAGGCTTGTCAAGTGAATGAAGAGCTGCCCCCCGCCCCGCCTCCCTGCCTAGGCGGAAACACACAGCTAGCCTCGAGGCATCCCCGGGCTCCTCCATGCCCTTGACAGGGCCCCTCTGGTGCCGGTTTGTCCCCTGAGAGCACTGGTTTTCCTGCTGCCCTCAGCCTGGTGAATCCTCAGATCCAGTGAGACTGGGCCATCTCTCCCCGCTGTCCCCCCGTGGCTGGAGACCAGGGGCTCCCGGATGCCCGTCCTGCCTTCCAGTCTTCCCTATCCATCCAGGGACTTGGGGGTCCCTGGTGTCTGCTAAGCCCAGGAATGTCCCTTCGATCTGTCAAACCGTGTCAATTACGGGAGCCGGCATTTCCCCAATGGGACCAAGTTCAAGAAATTCACAATTAGATGCTACAGGCCTGCAGGAAGGCAGAGCGGAAACATCAAAGAGGGATAGAAAAATTAATCCGAAACGCCCGAGAAGAGCGGAGCCTTGCATGATTTGCAGGAATCTCTGTGCTGTAGTTAATTTGTCCCTCTCGCTGGGGTGGCTCAGCTCCTTTCAGCCCCGCACAGCTCCCCCGCCCGACACACACACACACACACACACACACACACACACACGGGAGAGACCAGGGATGAAGCCCGCCCTGGCCCTCTGTGCTCTGACGCCAGGTGAGACGCCGTGTCCTCCCTGGCGGGATGCGAGGGGCTGCAGGGAGCAGCGCTTGTTCCAGGGCCTGCTGTGACCCCTGGTGACCCCTCCAGCACTTCTCTCAGTTCTCGCATCCCTGGTCTTGTGCTCAGCTGCGGCCAGAAGCTGTTGTAGCATCTTTTAGAAGAGCAAATGCTTTTATCCCCTCCCCAGGGTGTGCTGCCTTGTAATGCCAGGCTCCATCAAGGAGAACGCCACAAATCCTGCAACTGGGCGTTGTGCCCTGACGGTCTCTCTGGGAGGCCCAGGGAAGTTACCTCCCCAGGCGTCAGCTCAGGTCTGCCCTCCGGCACCATCAGACGTTTTCTAACCCCCTACCAAGTGCTGGGTACTGGTTGCACAGCAGTAAACAAGACCAGTGTGCTCCTTGGTCTTAAAGCACCGATATGGAGAGGTGAACATTATACGTGAAATTACCCATGTGTAGCTACTTTGACCATAGAAACAGGCAGTGGGGTGAAGAAGGCAGGTGCTAACTGAATCCAGGGATTCAAAGAGGCTTCCCTGAGAATGTGATGTTTAATTTGAGTCCTGGAGGAGGGGTACATGTTAAATGGAAATGGGGGAAGGAGCTTCTAGGCAGAAGGAACAGCATGTGCAAAGGCCCTGAGGTAGAAGGAATATGCCATGTAAAGGGCCTGACAGGAGGCCACTGTGGTTTGAATGCAGAGTGAGGTAGTGAAGGGTGCAAAGAAGTTGGGGAAGTGGGCAGGGGCCAGATGGGGCAGGGCTGGCCCTCCAGACTCACATGCTGGAGTGGGAGACAGAGGGTCTCCCACCTGGCCTTGAGGTAATGTTTAAGCCCCATGATGAAGCTATGCCTGGGCCTTCTGGGAACTCTGAGAATGGACTCTTAACCCACCTTGGAGGGAATCTTCACCAGGAATCTACAAGAAGCCTTGGGGCACCTGAGTGATTCAGTCGGTTATGTGTCCAATCTCAGCTCAGGTCATGATCTCATGGTTCGTGAGTTTGAGCCCCGCGTCAGGCTCTGCGATCAGCATGGAGCCCACCTTGGATCCTCTGTCCCTCCCCCCCTGCCCTTCCCCTGCTTTCTTTCTCAAAAATAAACAAACATTTAAAAATAAAACATAAAAGAAGTCTTAAAAAAGCATAGCAGTGACCCGGTAGAAAGGGGCTTAGGGAGGAGGCAGGCACTGCGGGCGGAGGGCACAGCACGAGCACAGGCCTGGAGACCGTGTGCAGCCCAGAGCACAAGGAACTAGGAGCACTTGTTGCTGCACCGTGTGAGCCCAGGTGGCCAAGGGAGGAGGGCGCCGCGTGGGGGGGACGTACGGATGGGTGCTGGCCGCCACTGTGGCCTTCCTCGGGGCTCACGGCCGTGCCTGCATCTGGCAGCCACGAGCTGGCCACCTTTGCCAGTGTGGAAGGGCATTCTGGGGAACAGGAGACTCAGTGGCAGCCAAGGCTGTAGGCACGAGCTGCAGCCCATCTGGACGGAGCAGTGGGCCCGGGGAGGAGGTTGAAGGAGAGGACAGCGCGTCAGGGCTTGGTAGGTGACCAGATGGAGGCAGAAACAGAGGCTTGGAGGATGCCCCAGGGAAGCCTGGCAGGGGCTGTCAGCTGCGGCTGTCTGCAGGCTCCTCGGACCTGGAGGCTGGCCAACCTCTGATTGCCTTTATTGTTTATTTGATTATGATTATGATTTTAATGTTTATGTATTTATTGTAAGAGAGAGTGTGTGTACAAGTGGGGGAGGGGCAGAGAGAGAGGAAGAGAGAGAGAATCCCAAGCAGGCTCCATGCTGCCGGTCCGGAGCCTGACATGGGGCCTGAACTCACAAACCGTGAAATCGTGACCTGAGCCGAAATCAAGAGTTGGAGGCTTAAACGACCGAGCCCTGACTTGCCTTCAGAAAGCCATGTAACTGCACTCGGTCTCTTTACTGCACTGAGAAATGGGGAGGCCTGCTTACAGCATGACCTGCTTACAGCCCGGGGCTGCTGGGTAGGAGTGACACCCTCCAGGATGGATGGGGGTGCTGGTGCTGTGCCCTCCCGTTTCTGTGTTCCCTGGCCTTTCTTTTTCCCATGCAGGGGGAGGCCCCAGCTTGGGGACCCTGTTTTTCAGGTCTCCTCCCAGGGCCCAGGGGGTCACACACAGAGGGTGTCCTGGCCAGTCACTGACTGAGTCCTTGAAATGCTCAGGTGAGGAAAACCTGCACGTTGGGATGAGAGTGTTGCTTTTCAGGGCCTGAGTCTGCCCGGTGGACAGAGGAGGGGTGGGCGCGTGCCCCTCCCCGCTCCAAGGACTGGTCTCCCTTCCTCTGTCCCCCAGTCCTGCCCCTTTCCCGCTGTTTGCTTCCCCCAGCCCTGCGAGTACGGCTTGAGAAAGTGTCAGTCTAGGGCAGTGCTATTTGTTTTGTTTTGTTTTGTTTTTAATGTTTTATTTATTTCTGAGAGAGAGAGAGAGAGAGAGAGAGAGACAGCGTGAGCAGGGGAAGGTAAGAGAGAGAGGGAGACACAGAATCTGAAGCAGGCTCCAGGCTCTGAGCTGCCTGTCAGCACAGAGCCCGACATGGGGCTCAAACCCACGAACTGTGAGATCATGATCTGAGCCGAAGTCGACTGCGCCACCCAGGCACCCCGAGGGTAGTGCTTCTTGAATCGGAGACATAAGCTGTCTAGAAGTCTGGAGCCCCTCCGTGCAGCACGTTATTTCACGTCTTCGTGCCTTTGCATGCACAGTTTCCTCTGCCTGAATGCCATCCCCCTCCTTCCGTTTGGGGAAGCGCCCGTTCATCCTGCAAAACCCCCCACAAGCACAGCCTCTGGTCACGCCATTCCTGATGGTCCCACCCGTGGTAATTACGGTAATCATCGTTAACCACCACTGATTAAGCAATTGGGCATCTGCCGTATGCAGAGCGCCCTGTCTACCCTGCCTCACTTAATCCGCATGGCACCCCTTCAAGAGGCAGATCGGGAGATCCGGGATAAATGGCTGCCCGCATTCTCACAGCTGGGAAGGGAGGGAGCCATCAGGTAAGACCGGCAGACACCAGCCCGAGTCCTTCACCTTAACTTCTCTGTAAGTGCTCCACTTACAGAGAAAGGACGTGCTCTTTCGCTCTCCTGACATTCACAGTGTCGACCGTACAGGAACTGTTTGTTGTAGCAGCCTGGGCAGGGCGGTGGTACGAGAGCACCGGGGACCACCTTGTGTCAGGGGGCCACAGGCAGGTGTCTACGTCCTCGCCCCCCTGCTCTGGGTCCTGAATCAAAGACTCTTGCCTACGGTCACTTCTTTTTTTAAGTTAGTTTGTTTTGAGAGAGAGTATAGAGGAGGGACAGAGAGAGAGGGAGAGAGAGAGGGAGAGAGAGAAGCAGAGTTGGGGAAGGGCAGAGAGAAGAGGCAGAAGGAGAATCCCTAGCAGGCTCCGCATCGCCAGTGCAGAGCCCTATGCGGGACGCGAACCCATGAATTATAAGATCATGACCTGAGCTGAAACCAAGAGTCAGACGCTTAACCGACTGAGCCATCCAGGTGCCCCTGCTGCCACTTCTTTAGGGAAGCCCTTCCAGAACATACCCCCCACTAGGTTAGTTCTCTTATTTATACATCCTCCTAATGCCTGCCTACATGTCCCAGCCAGCGGCACTTCCCCATCACCTGACGAGCGTGGCCTCAGTGGACACCCAATAAGTATGTGTTGAATGAATAGCTCTTCTCATTTTTCATTAAGAAACTGCTGGTGTAATTGATTGGGCATCTGTGTCCCCCAGCGTATCACAGTCTTCGAGGTGGTGACTTTGCCATCTCGGCCATCTCTGTGTGTTGCCAGCACTTGGCTCAGAATGTCTCCGAGAAGCTGGGAGCCTGGGCGGAGACCTGGGGCTTGGTCTGCTGCTGCCTCTCCCTTGCCATCTAGGAAAATGGGAAGTGGGTGAGTTCTTGCCATCGGCCCCTAGTCGCAGCTCAGGAGGAGGCACTCTTGCAGCCCAGGGCCGTGGAGACTGCAGGGAGGATGGGGAGGAGGGCCCAGCCGTGCCGCAGCCCTGCCCACCACCCGGCCTGCCCTCACCACCTCTCCTCGTGCACGGCTGTGTTGCCCTCCTACCCTCGAACCCTCTAGTTCTCAAACTGCTGTGCGCATCTCCTTTTATCTTCAGGGTTTGTTTTTAACCTGATTGCCATTCTCTCCTACCCCGTGGTCAAGTTCCATTTCACTTATGCGCCTCAGATCTCAGTCTTGGTGATCTTCCGTGCTCCTCCCTCATGTGCTGTGGCCGTGGCCTTCTCCACGTGTGGAGGCCTCACTCCATGCTCCTGCCTCCTGCGGTGCTGAGGCAGCACTGCTGTCTGCGGGACCCAGTGGCTGGCGGGTGTCAGAGCCAGCTTTGGCAGCGTCTGCCCTGTTCCCTGAACCCCTCCTCCTGACCCACAGCTCCCGGGCTGTCCCCAGACTGTTCCCAGGGGAGCTTCGTGATCTGGCAGGGCGGCCTGAGTTTGCACCGTGGTGGCCTCAAGGCGGGCCGTGTTCTCTCTGCAGGCTGCAGACGGGCTGGTCTGTGCACACCTATCAGACAGAGAAGCAGAGGAAGAGCCAGTGCCTCAGCCCCGCTGAGGTGGAGGCCATCCTGCAGGTGATCCAGCGAGCAGAGCGGCTGGACATCCTGGAGCAGCAGAGAATTGGGTAAGGCTGCTTCTGAGCTGGGGCGGGAGCAGGGTCCGGGAGAGGGAAGCGGGCATGTAGCGTCAGATCAGCACCCTGGGGCCCCGTGCTGGCTTTCACCACAGGGTGCAGATGCAGAGCCCAGCACAGCCTCAGAGCACCCCTCTGTAGGAAGTGGAGAGGGGCTCCTGTGTGGGCCCTAGGCTGGCGGGGCTGGAGTGAGGGTGGTGAAATGCACTGGGGGCCGCTCAGCTCGGCACACGGGACGGTCCGCTGCGGTTCCGCCAGGAGCGGGGTTTAAGTTGAGGCCGAGCCTGGAGCGTCCTGTCCCAACCGGGACTCCAGGAGGAGACGCTCTCCGGCTTGTTCTGAGCTCTCCTTCTGGCCTCCAGCATCCAGAGCTGACTTCCGTGCGGCCCTCAAACCACTTTGTTATGTCTGTTTTTGTTTGTTTTAATTACGAAAGCAATTCCTATTTCCTAGAAAACTGGAAAAACGCAGAAAAGCACAAGTAGGAAAACACAAATGCAGTGCATTGCACCGGGGCAGGAAGTAATTTGATTCTGATCTCCTTGTTCTTTTTCCATTTATTTTTTTCTATTAAATATATGATTATTTTTTTAAGTTTATTAAAAAAAATTTTCTTTTTTTGGGGCGCCTGGGTGGCTTAGTCGGTTAAGCGTCCGACTTTTGCTTAGGTCTTGATCTCGCGGTTCGTGGGTTCGAGCCCCGCGTCGGGCTCTGTGCTGACTGCCAGCTCAGAGCCTGGAGCCTGTTTCAGAGTCTGTATCTCCCTCTCTCTCTGACCCTCCCCTGCTCACGCTGTCTCTCTCTCTCTCTCTCTCTCTCCTAGAAATAAATAAAACAGTTAAAAAAAATTTTCTTTTCATGTTTATTTTTGAGAGAGAGAGAGAGAGAGAGAGAGAGAAAGACAGAGCGTGAGCAGGGGAGGGGCAGAGAGAGAGAGAGACACAGAGTGTCCCCTGGGTACTGGAGGTACTGTGGCCAACAAGACAGAAGTGGCCCCCAGCTTCACGAGGGTTGTAGTGTCTCCATGAAAGGGGGGAGTCCCAGTGGGCTGGGGGGCCTGGTACCCCGAAGAGAGTGGTCACCTATCCCAGGCTTAGCAGGGCTCAGGGCAGGCACACTCAGCATCAGAGGTTCAGGGAGAAGCACTTTCTCTTTCTTCCTCCAGCTTCTCCACGCACACGCTTGCTCCAACTAGATCCTCCACATCGTCCCGGGTCTCCCTCTTACCTCCTCGAGCCCCCTTTCTGGCGATGCCACCCCAGTCTCCCCGGCTTGGACCCCCTTCACGGGACCTCCCACCGCCTCCTGCTGGCTTCCTCACCTGCACTCCCCCCCGCCAGCCCCTCATAGTCCTGACTCTCCACCCGCAGCTGGAGTGAGCTTTTAAAAATGTCACTTGGATCAAATCACCCATCTCCTTAAAACTCTTCCGTGGCTTCATGTTGATCTTAGAATAGAACCCAAACTCCATTTTGTGACCTTACAAAACCGTCGTAACCTGTCCCCTCTCCCCCCTCCAGCTCCCTTTATCCCAGCCTCCTGCTGGCTCACAGGGAGGGGTCCCACGGCCACCCTGCTGCTCTAAAGTGCCAAGGCCTTTGTCTCTGCCCTCCCTGGTCCCTCCTCCTAGAGTGCCCCTCCCCAGCTCCATACCGGTTTGGCCTTGTCAGTTCATGCGTTCTCCCTTCCTTCTCCCAGAGGCCTCCACTGATCACCATCAGGCGTGGCTGGGCACGCAGTCCCCCCTCAGTCTTCTCCCCACACACTTACCTGATTTCATCGCACTCCCTCTGTCTGAAGTCAGTTTGCATGTTGAGTCGTTTATGGACTCTCTCCCTTTGTCGAACATAAGTTCTGTGAGAGCAGGACCGTGTCTGTCTCTGGCTTGTTTGCTCCAGCACCCCAGTGCCTGGCACGTCACAGGTCCTCAAGGCTGGGGAGCAAATGGATGATTAGAAAGTAGCCTGGGAAAGGGCCAGGGTAGGGAATAGTACCCCAGCTGAGGGACCAGCACAGGGGCAGGGCACAGTGCTGGGGCCCCATGGCAGCCATACGTGGGCAGTGGGCAGGTTGGAGACAGGAAGCACATTCCCTCTGACTCAGTGTCCTGTGCTGCAGGCGGCTGGTGGAGCGGCTGGAGACCATGAGGCGGAACGTGATGGGGAACGGCCTCTCCCAGTGTCTGCTCTGTGGGGAGGTGCTGGGCTTCCTGGGCAGCTCCTCGGTGTTCTGCAAAGACTGCAGGAAGGTAAGGCCCGCTCTGCGGCTCTGCGCCCTGGATCCCAGGAGTGTGTACTGTACGTGTCTGTGTGGGTCCGCGCATGCATGTGTGCGCACGTGATATTCTGTGCTTCTTGGCAAGAAGAACTGATGCCTTAAGTTGAATGGTGTGGCTTCTAGGGTCAACTCTGGGGAGCGGACCCCTGGGTTTCATAGGCCCAAGTATGAATTCAGTTCTTCCACTAACTGGATGACTCCAGAAAACTTGTTTGATGTGTTGAGTCTCATCTTCCTCATCTGTAAAATAGGGATAATGATAATATGTACCCTAGAAAGTTGTGAGGATTAATTATTACATGCAAAGTTCTTAAAAACCTTATTTGGCACATAAGTAAGTATTCAGTAAATTTTATTATTTATTTATTTAATTATCATTAAATAAATAAAATTCTCCTCAGGGCGAAAAATATGCTGGATTATACTTATTCTGTTGACCTACTCTCAATCCCTGGCCCCTTAAATGAGAATGATTTTTGCTGCAAAGTCAAATGGCTTTTTCCCTTATCTTATACTCCACAGATTATTCTAAATTGTGCCACGTATTAAATTGTTTCATACTGAGTCCAGGACTTATTTCTTTTATTTTTTTAATTTGCTTAATGTTTATTTTTGAGAGAGATACACACACATACAGAGTGTGAATAGGGGAGGGGCAAAGAGAGGGAGACACAGAATCTGAAGCAGGCTCTAGTCTCTGAGCTATGAGCACAGAGCCCGATGGGGGTCTTGAACTAATGAACTGTGAGGTCATGACCTGAGCTGAAGTCGGATGTTTAACCAACTGAGCCACCCAGGCGCTTCGAGTCCAGGACTTCTTAAAGTAACTGTTTGTTTTTCCTGGAGTTTCTAATTGCCTTTATTTTCTTATGGACCCAAGAATAATGTGCCTTCCAGTCCTCAGGATTATTTAGCATTTCAGTTTCACTCTCTACGGCATGGAGTCTACATTCTTTTTCCTTCTAGACACTTAGCTTTACCCCAGCCTAGACTAGTTGCTGCATAGCCGTCATCATGGAACTTCCCTTGACTGTCCTCCTAGGTTAGAGTCACTGTTCCCAATTTACCATATCTCCCTCTTTCTTTTGTTCTTCACCCTAGTTTCACTGGTTCTCACCTTCCATGTGTTTTAAGCCTAGAGTTATCTTGGTCAACAAGACAGAGATAGAAACTTCTCTTGAGATTACATTGGGTAAGGGAACCAAAAGCAAATAATGATCCAATAAATAGGAATATTTCAGGACGTAATATATTCTTGGAAGTAATAACAGCGGATAGAAGATTGGGGATGGGGTAGGGTGGGGTGGTTAGAGCTGAGAGGACTGTAGAGTATAGAGAAGTCAAAGAAGTAAACATGGACTTGGCCACATGGAGGCCATTGGTAGCCTTGTGATCATTTTGAGTTGGCATTCAAAAGCTGTATGAGAGAACCAAGATGCAAAAAGGTCAGTATACCAAACTAATAAGTGGAAAAGCCCAGGATTTCAGTTAAAGTCCTTTTTTCCCCTGTCTGTGACATGTGGTGAACTGGGCTAAGGAGTGTGAAGTCACTGGTGAAGGGTCCCAACAGCAGTGGAGATGTGGCAGGGCAGGGGTGGGGACTTGTGTGTCAGCTCCCCCTTAAGTCCTCCATGGCCCTGGACCAGATACCAAACAGATAGTAGGAAGCGGGACTCAGAATGTCTTGTTCCCAGCCCTTGGGCAGGTTCGGTTCTGTTTTGTGACTTCTGCCTGGGACAACAGGGCCCAGCAGCCTATTTCCTCTTTCTGCCTATCAACGCTACAAATGTTCAGGTTTGCAGGACCATGATGAGGGGACAGAGCCTTGTCTCTTCCCCTGGAAAGGTCCAGAACCTTTGTTCTAGAGGCAGGCTGCTGCCCTGACCACTGAAGAGTCCTCGGAGAGCCATTTTCTGGGCATCGGTGGCAGCCCCAGGGAATGATCTCAGCTGTGTGGGGGCGGACAGGATAAAAACCGTTCTTCCAGATGCTCTTGACACCTCCCTGCCCCGTGGTATCCTGGAGCACTGGGCCATTCCAGAGGACATTTCCATTTGAAATTGTTACTTGGCAGCAGGCTGAGGACCTGGTTTTGGCTTGGATGGTGAGGCAGGGAGGCCTTTGAGTTTCTGAGGGAAGTTGTTCCTGGGTAGAAGTGGAGGAGAGGGTGCTAGCTGGGACCACAGACGAATGATGGGCATTTGGAGGTTTTCTTCATCCATCCTTGAGAAGACTGTGTCACTCATTCATTCTTTGATTCATTCATTCTGCAAATAGTAGTGCATCTGCTAGTGCAGGCCGTATTCTAGGTGCTGGCAGTACCATGAACGAGAAAGACAAAACCCTTCCTCTCGTGGTGACTTTTTTCCAGGGGTGGGAGAAGAGAGACAACAAACAAACATGCCATGATTTGGAGCAGGGTCTTGTGGGAGAGTGTGACCATGAGGGCCTCTCTGAGCTCAGAGCTGAAGGAGCCAGCCCTGGGGAGACCTGGTGGGAAAGTGTTCCAGGCAGAGGGAGCAGCAAGCATGAAGTTCCTGAGGCAGAAACCAACTGGGGCATGTTCGGGGAACCCACAAAGGCATCTGGGTCAGAGACTCAGAGATGGGCGTGCCGATTGTGCAGGAGCTTCGAAAGTCAAGGTCAGGAGTTGAGATTTGATTGTAAGTTTAATAGGATACCAGTGGAGTGTTTGAAGCAAGGGTGTGATGTGATCAGATTTGTCTTCGTACATGATAAGCCTAGCTGCTGTCTGGTGAGTGGATTGCAAGGGGACATAAAGTGACAGTGGGAGGTCGGTTAGGCACTGCCTGTCATTAGGGATGAGACAGTGGGGTTGGAGACAGGCAGCACAGCCTGGGGGCCACATCTTTTCACTGTATCGAAGCAGGTGGGCACCATTACAGGGGGTGCTCGAGGATCCCAGGAGGGAAAGTGGGTCCTAGGCTGCAGATGGACCGGAGCAGGGTGCCCTGTGTGATAAGGGGGTGGCGGTCCTTTGGGGCTTGCCAGTGAGTGCCGTTCCCATGCACACAGGCGTGGGTTGTCATCTCCACTCGGCCACAGCACCGGGACCTCGTACAAGGTGTCTAGCGCTTAACTTCTGGGCTTCTGTTTCTTCATCTGTAAACGGGGTAACAAAGCTTCTTACGTCATCATCGGGTAGGGGTGAGGAGGAGGTGAGCTAAGGCAGGGGAAGCCCTTTAGCAGAGTGCAGGGCCCATTTCAAAGACCCAGTAAAGGATACCTGTTGCTGTTATTATTAATCCACTTCGAGGTCCTAGCTGTTCAGACCCAGGATGGAGCTGACCTTCCGTGTATGTCAGATAGATTTAGTGACACGCCATGTCTTAGCTCAGGCTGCCATAACCAGATGCCCCAGACTGGGCAGCTGCAGTAGCAGAAGTTTGCTTCTCACAGCTCTGGGGGCTGGAAGTCCAAGATCAAGGTGCCGGCTGATTCACTTTCTAATACAAACTCTCTTCCTGACTCGAACACTCCCGGCTTCTCACTGGGTCCTCATTTGGCAGAGAGCGAGCTCTGGCCACTCTCTTCTGATAAGGACACCAATCCTACTGGATCGGGGCTCCACTGTTATGACCTCTTATAACTTTAACTGCCTCCTAAAGACCCCTTGTCTCCAGGACAGTCATGTTGGGGGTTAGGGCTTCAATATTCGAATTATGAGGGGATACAATCCAGTTCATAGTACCCCACATTTTCCTTATTAGATACTCATGTTTTCTTGAACTTAAAATTGTAGTTCACACAATTACTCATATAGTTTTGATCATTGACATAAAAGTTTCCAGATGTCTCTGTAGCTCTTCAGCATCGGATGTCCCGTGCGGCAGGGAGATTCCCGGGTTTCTGTCCCGTACCTCATGTGAACGTTAACACTCAACCACTTAACGCAACTGTTGTGGGCAAATTCTGGGTTGGGGGTCCCAAAAGGAGAGGTGTCTAGAAGAGTCACTTCCCTCAGGTCCTGACAGTCAAGGTGGGCAGACTGTATCATCTAGAGTGATGCTCAGCACGGCTGGACCGGAGTTCCAGGATGAGCAGTCAGGAGGTCTGCCTGTAGGAGCTGGCTCCTGAAGGCTGAGAGCAGAGCGAAGGGCAATCTGAGGAGGGGAGAACAGCACAGTGGAGGCACATAGCTGGAAACAGGCAGTGCAAGGACTTGATAAGGATGCAGGCCCCGAGGACAAGGAGAAGTGGGCTGAAAGAATGAAGGACACAGAAGGCATCCACAGAAGACTGGGGAACGGGAGCCTTGGGGGAGGGACAGCACAAGGTCGTGGGGACTGGAAGACATGGGGCAGGGCTGAGATCTTTGGGAAGGAGATGGGGCTCCTTAGAAGGAAGAGCTGTGTTAAGGACCAAGCTGCATTTGAGCAGAGTGGGCTGGTCTATACGGCCCTGGGTCCCCGGGAAATGGTCGCAGAGGTGCAGACGCCCTGCCAGGATGGGGCCATCATGCCAGGTGGTGGTCACTTAGGAGCCGAGTCCCAGGAGAATCAGGAGTGGGGTTCAGACTTAACCTTAGAGCCCCTGCTCTAGTTGAAGCTTTGCAGGGGCTCCACAGTGTCTGGGAGGAGAGGGACAGTGTCCTCCATGCACTTATCCATCAAGTATTTATTGTAGGTCTGTGCGTGCAGGCACTGGGGATACAGTGTAGAGACACACAGATCCTGCCCTCTTGGAGGGGGTGTTAAATGATTATGGGGGGTTGGGATTACTGAGGCAGCCCTGGGGGCCGAGAGAGCTCTCACAGGGCACTGGACCTATGAGGGGCCTCAGGAGCCCTCCACTCTGGGCTCACCAACTTCTAGGGAGCGTCCCCTGTTTATCTGCATGTCCACTGGCCGCCTCCTCACATTTTGCCTGCGGCCCTGGGTGCTGGGAGGTGTGCGGGCATGAGTAGGCTGCTGGGCGGGGAGACCTCTGACTCGGGGTGTTCTGATTGTT